TGTACAGATAGACAGATATAGACAGATAGATATACAGTAGATAGATAGATATACAAATAAATAGATAGATATACAGACAGACAGATGGAGATACAGATAGATAGATATACAGACAGATATATAGATATACAGATAGATAGATATACAAATAGATAGACAGATATGCATACAGACAGATGGATATACAGATAGATAGATATACAGATAGACAGATAGATAGATATACAGACAGATAGATAGATATACAGACAGACAGATGGATATACAGATAGATAGATATACAGATAGATAGATATACAGATAGATAAATAGATATACAGACAGACAGATGGATATACAGATAGATATACAGACAGACAGATGGATAGATGTGCTGTCTTATTCGAGTGGATTCTTTGCGGCGCAGAAGATGATGTTGCATATTTTCCTTATGTCTGTTTCTTTCTCTCTCTCTGTCTCTCTCTTTTCCTTTTTTTTATTTTTTATTCCTTCGCCTCTTTCGTTTCTCTTTTCTGCCTTTTTTTGTTTTTTTTTTCTGGGCTATTCCTTCTGATTTTCTTTTTTCTTTTTCTTGGTGTTGCTATTATCTCGTTTTTTTTTTTTTTTTTTTTTTTGTTTTTCGTATCTAATTTTATTCTCCATAATTTTCTTTTATCTCTCTCTTCCTCTTATATTTTTTCTCTTCAACTTTGCATCCTTGTTCTCCGTTTTTTTTTAATCTTCTTCGCCTTTGTCTTCTGTTTCTTAATTTTCATTCTCCTCCTCTCTTTCTTCTTCTTTCCATCTCTTCTCTTTTTCCTTTTCCATTGCTTCTTTTTCTTCTTCTTCTTCTTCTTCTTCTCCTTCTCCTTTTATCTGTTTTCTCTTCTCAATCTATGCCTTTTTCTTCTTCTTCGTCTTCTTCTCTTTTTTTGCTGTTCCTTCTTCTTAATCTATGCCTTTTTTTTCTTCTTCTTCTTCTCCTTTCTTTCTGTTCCCTCTTCTCGATCTATTCCTTTTCTCCTTCTTCATCGTCTTCCTCTTCTTCTCCTTTCTTTCTGTTCCTTCTTCTCAATCTATGCATTTTTTTTCTTCTTCTTCTTCCCCTTTCTTTCTGTTCCCTCTTCTCAATCTATGCCTATCTTCTTCTTCTTCTTCTTCTTCTTCTTCTCCTCCTTTCTCTCTGTTCCCTCTTCTCCTTTTTTTCTGATCCCTCTTCTCAATTTATGCCTTTTTCTCCTTTCTCTCTATTCCCTCTTCTTCTTTTTTCGGTTCCCTCTTCTCAATCTATGCCTTCTTCTTCATTTTCTTCTTCTTCTTCTTCTTCTTCTTCTTCTTCTTCTTCTTCATCTCTTTTTTTCTGTTCCCTCTTCCCAATCTATGCCTTTTTTTTCTTCTTCTTCGTCTTCCTCGACGCAACATCAACTTTTTTTCTTTTCTTTTTAATCATCATCATCATCATCATAAGCATTTTTTTCTAATAATTATAATCAATATCACTATAGAATCATAATTATTTTTTATTATCGAATTATTATCATCATCATATGCATTTTTTTTTAATAATTATCATCAATATCACTATAGAATCATTATTTTTATTATTATTGAATTGTTATTACCATCATTATTGAACTATTACTATGATTTATTATTATTATTAATTATTATTGATTCATTTGTTATTATTATTAACAAAAGTCTCCTTTCGTTAATACGAAAATACTTCACTGCGCTATCTCGTTTTTTTTCTTTTTTCTTTTTCTTTTTTTTATATTTTTTTTCTTGAAATTCCATTCGGCGTAAAAAAAAGAAAGAAAATAAAAAAGAAAATAATCACGTTTTCCAAATGGGAGAATCGCAGGGAATAACTGCCTAAACCTATTTATTTTCGTGGTTCAATCATCATAAATTCTTATTCTGGGCGCCATTTTCTTTTTTTTTTTGGGGGGGGGGAGGGTTACCAGCGTATATGTAATTTAGAGTTGTGAGTTGTTTATACTTCTTCCTGTAGGCGATGGAATCTAATTTTAGTTCCGCGTTTGGGGATGGCTGTGAACATGACTTTTAACTTTGTGAGGGAAGAAAAACTGAATGGAAAAAATTGTACTTTTTATACAGTGAAAAGTCATTGGGTCTGTCTTGTTTTTGGGCTCGTATAATGTACAAACACACACACACACACACGTGCGCGCGCACGTGCACATACAGACGCATACGCATACACACACACACACTGTAACAGTCACATGTTTCATTTCTTCTCATTATCAACTTGTTTTTGTTATTATTATTGCTATTACTATTACCATAATCAACATTATTATTGTAATTGTTATATTATTACAATAACTATTATCAATGTCATCGTTATTGCTATCATTATCATTATCATCATTATCATTCGTATTATCATTATTATTTGAATTATCACTATTGCTATTATCATTATCATCATTATCGTTGTTGTTGTTATTATCATCATAATCAACATCATAAGTCTGCTGTTATCTTTATTATCATTATCATCATTACCATTGTTATTCATCATGTGTGTGCGTGTGTATGTATGTACTTATGTGTGTATCTTCTCTTCTTGTTTCTTTCCTTTAAATCATCATTTATTCTGCTCCCCCCCTCCCCTCCCCATGTTTGTGTGTGTGTGTGTGTGTGTGTGTGTGTGTGTGTATGTGTGTGTGTATGTGTGTGTGTACGTGTGTGTGTGTATCATCTTCTTGCATCTTCTTTTCTTGTTTATTTTTCTTATAATCCCCCCCCCCCCCCCAGTCTCCCTGCCCGGCATCTCCGGCGTGGCCATGACCCTGGCCGTCGGTCCTCTCATCGAATTCACGGGCCCGACGCGTCTCCTGAGGGCGCTGCTGTTCCTGGCGGGGGTCCTGTGGCTCCTGCAGGCCTTCACGCCCTACCTGTCGCTCCTGTACCTCGGGCGCATCGGCTCCTGCCTGGCCTTCAACGCGGTGGGGCCCTTAGCTCCGGCCCTCATCTCCGAGCTGGTCGAGCCCTCCGTCAGGGGATCCCTCGTCGCCGTGGTGGAGGCGGTGGTGGCCCTGGGGCAGCTCGCCGTCTACTGCCTGGCCGACGCCCTGCCCTGGCGCCTCACCACCGCCCTCTGCGCCGCCCCATTCTTCGCCGTCTTCGTGCTCGCCTTCTTGGTGCCTGAGGTAGGCTGGGGGGAGGGGTGGGGGGTGGGGGGATGGAGAGAAGAGATAAAAAAGCTTAAAATTACAAAAAAATTATGATAATGATGATGATATTGATGATGGTGATAATCATAATGGTAATAATTATAATGCTAATAATAATAATAACAATAATAATAATAATAATGATATTGATGATAATAACAGCAACAATAGTTATAATAAAACTAATAATAATAATAATAGTAATAATAATAATAATAATGATAATAATAATAATAATGGTGATGATAATGGTAATAATAATAACAGAAATGATGATAATAATGATGATAGCAATAATAACAAAAGTGACAATAACAGTAACAACAACAATAAACATGATAATGATAGTAATAACGAAAACAATAATTATAACGATGATAATAATAATGATTATAATAACAACACCAATAGAGATAATAACGATAACACCACGACCTTCCCAGTCCCCCTACTGGCTCCTCCGCCAGGACCGGTCCGAGGACGCGGCGAAGGCCCTGGCCCGCCTCCGAGGCCCCGTCAAGGACACAAGCGTGGAGCTCGACGAAATCGCCAAAGGGATCAAGGAGCGTCCTCAGTCCACTCTCAAGGATCAGGTGAGTGTGAGGTTGAGGCTTGAAGAATTTGAAGGTTTTGTGTAGTAGTTTTTTTATCTATTTACTATTATTATTATTTTGTGTGTGTGTGTGTCTGTATTGCTGTTTTTTTTTTTTTTTTTTTTTTTTTTTTTTTTTTTTAGGGGGTAATTCTTTTATGTGTTTTGAAATAACTTGAAAACAGTCTGTTCGCACTATCGTTTCGGAATGTATGCATAATTTTGTGTATGCGTGATATCTGTTTATTTAACCATATCAGGTGTTCGTAATGAGCTTTTTTTTCTCATATTTCCTCGCAGGTGAAACAGCTGTCCGTGGCCCAGAACTTCCGGCCCGTCCTGTTCCTGGCGTCCGTGTTCGTCCTGCGGGAGCTCGGCGGCCAGTACGTCGTCTTCTCCTACACGGTGTACCTGTTCCGTGAGGCGGGCGTGTCCATGGACGCCTACACGTGCACCATCCTCGTGGGCGCCGTCCGCCTCGCCTGCACCGTGCTGGGGTCTCTCTTGCTGGGCCGGGTGGGGCGCCGGCCGATGCTCCTCGCGACGAGCGTGGTCTGCGGGCTGGCCGAGCTGGTGGGCGGAGCCTTCCTGCTGGGCCAGTTCCCGGGGGCGTCCTGGGTCCCCCTGGCGGCCGTGCTGGTGTTCGTGTCGTCCTACGGCCTCGGGCTGAGTCCCGTCCCCTGGGTGCTCCTGGGCGAGCTCCTGCCGACGGCCGTGCGCTCCGTCGGCACCTCCATCTGCGTCTTCAACTTCGCGCTCTCCATCTTCATCGTGAGCTACACCTTCCCGCCGCTGGTCGAGCACGCCGGCGTGGGCACGGCGCTCATCGCCTTCGCCGGCTTCCACTTCGTCCTCAGCGTCATCACGTGGGCCTTCCTGCCGGAGACGCGAGGGAAGTCGCTCAGCGACCTCAAAGACGCCTTCACGTCCGCGCCCAAGGAGGCCGACGGCGCCGCGGCCGGGGAGGGCAAGCGAACCGAAAATGCCAAGGATACGAATGTATAAATCATACTAACACTTATTACGTCTCTGTCGATCTATCTATCCGTCCATCTATTCATCTCAGTGTGTGTGTTTGTGTGCGTTCATGTGTGTATACATATACATACAAAGAGAGGCGTGTGTGCGTGCTTCACCTCATCCACCGCAGAACAGACGCAGCTCCGTTTCCCCAACAGGTATTTCTCGGGGCCGCCCGATTCCGCCCATTCTGCAGAATCACT